ATCTTCAGGTGCTCGGACAGGAGGTTGCCAAGAGTGTGGTCCTCCTTCTTGATGACGAAGTCGGACGTGTTGGACATTCCTGGGAGGCGTTTAGCTTGGCCGAATGGCTAGGAAAATGGTTGAAGGGTGTACAAATCGTACCAGAGAAGACATTCTCCTCGATCTTCTTCTCGCCTTCACCGAGCAGGAAGAGCTCGAAACTATGAAAGAGTTAGTTCAATTTCCGGGTTCCGTTTTCTCGCAAAGAGACGCGCCGAGGAGGAAGGTTCTCAGATTGGGAAGACATGATGTAGCTCAGATGTGTTGAGAGAGGGTGGTTCTGGAGTCTGGGAGTCTTTGATATGCCTGATAAAGCAGTGATGCGATGGTTTATGTGCGTGGAAAAACAGGAGCAATGTTGAAATGCAGGATAGAGATTTAAAGACGTAGTTCCGTGCCTTGCGAAGGAGCCTCTGGCAGAGCCCGGCAAGGAAGCCAGGAGAAGACCATGGCCACCTCCTCGAGGGTTACGGGAAGGGTGACGGGAAGGGAAGCCTGAAGGGAATCATAACAAGGTGAAGCCGTTTCGAGTCCGTCTTCCGACCAGGCAGACATAGACTCCCTCCAAATCTCACAAAACAAAAGCGTGAAGATTGTCTCACCGATCAGGCGCGTTCATCTTGGTGATTCGTGATAGTAAAGGGGAGGGTGGAGTCGGTTGTAACGAGACTTTGAGGACAAAGCTGAAGACAATGCGTAGTTGGAGATAACTGAACGCAGAATACCGAAGTGAGACTCCATTATGGTTAGTGGAACGTTCTTTCATGACGAGGAATTGATGACTACCTTTTGGTTGGTAATGTGATTGAATTTGAGAGTTCAGCCGGGGTATGAGAGTTGCTGGTGAGTGAGTTGGACGTGGTGAAGCTCAGGCTCCTTCTCAGTAAAGATGGGCTGGAGTCCTAGGTAGTGGGTCCTAGAGATTTGGGCTGCGCCACAGATGTACAAATGTGGCGGTGCATAAGCTATTACGACCTTCCACGTCTTCCTTGATCTTCATTTCACCTCAATAGATTAGATTGAAACTCGCTAAGCCATGAGAAATTTTCGTTTTCTTGGCCTCTATGTCCTCAGATGATTTTCGAAAGGAGTTGAAGGATAAGTTGATTCAAAACCACTGCTACGTATACACATACAGAACTATAAACGTGGCGATGAGCCTCTTGTTCTTCAGTCTATGTACAAGCCCATGCTCATTGACGACCGGCCGATGCTGTCCAAAACCCTTGAAGAACCCGCTGGAATCCATGCAATGATTACCCAACGCTTTTCAGACAGCACTGAATGACAAATAAAAAATGCAGTCGCATGCGTTTCCCTCAGGCGCTTTGTGCCGATTTACTTCCCCCTGCGGTCGCAGTATGCCGGAGGTTTAGCACCATCGGAGCCACCAGCCCAGCTGTAAACAGTCAAGGTTGTGGTATAAGCCATAGCGACGAAGCCAAAGATGCAGAGTATGATATCAGAAATCTTCCAGAGCCTGTTTCTCGCAACGGCCTTGTAGTGAAGCAGGGGCTATTTGAGGGTTAGCAGTCAGATTCTATATTGACAAATTAGGTCATGTGCATGATTGTACTCACCGGGTAGATGTAGACAAGTGGAATGCAAGCAAAATTACCGACGAGGGCAACGAACTTGTCTAGATCATCCGCACCACCCCATGCGATGACGGCGCAAAGAATGACAAAGAAAAAGCGGTAGAGGTTCTTCTGCCACTTGATGTAGGGATTGTACTTTCCGCTCTTGGTGAACAACGCATTCTCGGTAATCTTGATAGCGGGGAAAAGCTGCAGAGGAATTGACAGCATAATGGCGATGGAGTAAAGGAACTGGACACTGTTGACAGCCTTGTTGTCTTGGGGCATGTTGAGGAGCACCACAGTCTCGGTCTTGGACCCGTAGGCGGCGTAGGAGATGGCACCCATGCCGATGAAGATGACCGAGATGATGATCATGACCGCCAACATGACACGAGGGAACTTGCTGGGGTTCTTCATCGACTCCTGAATAGGGATGATGAGGCCAATTCCTTCAAACGTAAAGATTGCCGTGCCTATGAACAAGGTCCAGTCGTTGCGGTTGAACTGGATGATGTCCGCGATACCATTGGTGGCCAAGGTGAGGATGTCGTAGTATAGCAGGTATGCAAGACCAAGTAGAATGAAGGCGTCTGCGATCAGCGCAGTAAAACTCAGCTTCTCGATGTCTCGCAGTAGGGAGAATGGCAGGAAGACAAGCACCTGCAAGAGGATCAACCACTTGACAGCGATGTTGGATTTGCAGTCCGATACCGCTAGAATAACGGCCTGCAGATTTTCTGACGTAAAGACCATGTACGCCGCCACGAACCCGATCTGGCTTATAACGATAGACGATAGGATAGTCGCCCTCATCCACTTGCCATAAAGAATGCCGCCAAGATCACCAAAAGATCCGTCGACCTTGAGACGAGTCGTGACCAATAGAACGAAGCAGTAGTAGCTCAGCGCTGCAACCCCAAGCAAGACAGCGTTGCTGAAGACCATACCACCGTTCAGATAAGCGCGAGGCAAGAAGAGAACTCCCGTACCAACGAACGACTTGAGCAGAAGCAGCGCCGCACTCATGGGACTGTTCTTTCCACTGCCGCCACGCTGCTTGCGTCTCCTTCTGTGGCGCGACGGTGTCAACAGCGCGCTGTCTTCCATAGGCTCTCTGTCGTCATCGCTTTCGTCGTCGCTTTCGTACATGTCCTCGCCTGAGGAGAAGTATTCGCCGGGTCGTAGGGCCTCGTCGTCTTCCTCCAACTCTTCACCTGCGAAGTGACCATATATCGAGAGGAACTCGAGGAAGCTGGACGTCAGCAGCCGAGGCTGGGGAGCTTCGCTAGCCTCGCCGCGCTCACCACCATCTCTGGCCGTGGAGGGGCTTCTTGCCGCTCTACGGAGGTAGTTGCGACGGAAACCTCCGGGAACTTTGATTGTATTGATATCAAGAATATCAGTCTCGGGATCCGGACGCGAAACGCTGAAACTCTTGCTGCGCTGCATCTTGCTACGGGCTTCTGCCTCTTCGGTCCACTTGTAAATGCCTCGAGTCACGTCTCCGCCTTGTAGCTGCAAACTCGAAAACTCGTCCTCGTTCAGTCCGGTGTCGGCGTCGGCGTTCACGGCCTGCTTGCCCTTCACACCATCACGCATGCTAGACTCTTCAGAAGCAGCGTCGGTGGGCTGGACCAAATGCCTCTTGACAATCTCGGGGTCTTCGTAGGCGCCAGCACCGGCGTTTCGCGAACGAGAGTCGAAAGATCCATAGTTGGTCATGGGCGTGCTCGAAAGCTGAGCGCCGGCAGCAGCAGGGGAAAGAGGTCGTGCCGGAGGGGTGGCAGAGCGCACCGGTGGTGTGCCATGCCTCGGTGGAGATGTCCCCAGCGAGTTGGACAAGGCGGCGGCGAGAGCCGAGACACCGGGACCTTGAACGCTTGAAGGAGCAGCTCCGGCAAGAGGAGCGAGACTTGCCGTCTCGCTAGCATCGCCTAGCCTACTTGAGCTCCCGACGAAGCGGCCGGTCTGGGGAGTGCCATATTGCTGCGAGGGTACGGGCGATGCCAGGCGAGCGGTGGCGTCTGCTCGAGGTAGAGAGCCGAATTGTCGGGACGGGGAGTCGGCCCTGGGAATGCTGAGGGGATCTCTCGAAGGAGATGCCATGATGGTGCCTAATGAAACCGGTCGCGGACTATCGAATGCCGGTATTCGGTATATCGAGGAGCCTCCAACCACAGCGTTGCAGATTCCGAACTGGATCAACAACAGACAACAAAGTTAGCGAGGTGTCATGGGCGGGAGAAGATGAGATGGGACGGAACCGGGAAGAGAAGGAGAGCTAGATGATGGAGAAGACGTAGGTTCGATTCAAGTACGGGGAGAGTTTACCTGGACTCAGTTGTAAGACAGCTGACGAGATCAATTGCAGCGCACGGCTTGGGGGGATGTGCGTTCGAAGCTGTTGCTACTGGGAACCCGTGATAAGGACGCCGCTTCCAAGCGGGTCGGGTGACCTAATCTGGCAGGTCTGGAGAGTCTGTGGCTCACACAGATAGCGTCGGGTAGGTAGCGCTACCTGGCGGCAGCCTGCCCTGCCCTGTAGGCTCATACGCTGTAGCAGGCCCTGGGTGGTGTCGGGAGCTGTGGCTGCGCTGCCGAAACCCGTCGGGCTATGACAACCGACAGCCTAAGGTAGCACCCAGGAGCTCTCTCGGGTTCCTCGCTCCACCCTCCGGGCATGCTGACCATGCTTGGTACTGAACCTGCAAGGCAATGTTGTGCCTGTGTTAGCCGCTCTACGCTGCCCCAGCCTCCAGGTGAGGTCTTGTCTCAGTCTCTCAGACATGGGTTGCGAGGTCTCCTAGGTTTTCAGTGCTTGGTAACGGTACTCTTGAATAATCACGTCGCCGTGCTACTCCATGTCACAGCTGGTAAGCTCCAGCCACCAACGATGAGATGCGAATGCATCATCTACTTATCTACATGGCTGCAGCGCTGTCTCGAGTTCCCTAGGTACAACAACAATACATAGTCTACTTGGGTGATTCCGATCATTTTTTCTCGTCTTATTCCATTCCCTCTGTTTCTGCTCTCATCTCTGACTTTTTCCTTATGTAATATCTTGAACACTTTGACCGGGAACCGCAGATTCGACTGTACCTACTACCTACGCCAGGACCTCTGCTTCTGGCCATCGGACTGGCTGGTATTGACCGTCAATCGCATGTCTGATTCAGCACAGCAAAACAGCACAGCGAAAATCTCTGGGATATGTGTCTTTCTTTCCGATGATCGGCCATCCTCCGGTCACTTCGAGACTTCCCAAACGCCTCATAATGGATACGACCTACAGTTTTTACTAGAAATGAGCCGAGTATTTCGTCTTGCTGCCAGCGCACACTACCAAAAAAACCAAGGTTCCCATCGGATCTTACCAGCTTAGGTAAGGCACAGCTCGACCGCCACAATAAGCGAACAGGTGTCATTGGCTGCATGCACATCCCGCCTCACTTGTTCCTCTTGCTCTGACGGTGGCACGGTGAAATGGGAGAGAGAGTGGGGGGCTAGCGCGCTCATTAATCCTGGCGCGGGCTGCGTATGAACGTGTTTTGGAGCCCCGCGGCGGGTGCTTTTCGGCAGCTCTCCACCTCTTACCTCCCTTGGCCAGAATTGTCAGGTAGGTGAACAGCACCTCACCTCAAGACTCGAATGAGCCCGCGCATGTAGCGGTACCTGGTGTCTGTCTGGGTGTGGTGCATCGCTGATTTCGCATCCCGTGCGCCTGCACTCTTCGCCCTCAGGTTCACTTCACCAACCCTTCACCTCCGGCATTGAAACCCCATCATCGAGTCATGAAGCAGAGATACTCGACACTCCCACACTGACACTCCCATGCTGCTGGCTGATAAGCGGCAAAGCCACACTGGTGACTAGGTACTCGTTCGAATTTCGCGGTACCAGCGGCCAATCCGGCCCATCCCATTGGAATCTCCGGCTTACCGCTGTCATGCGCCTGAGTCAACCGACTGGTCTCTTGTTTTCTATTTTGGAGGTCGAACCCTGCCACGCCAGCATCAGATGGAATGTCGAGCCAGATGGCTGGCAGATGCCAGGCATTTGACACTTGACGCTATTCTCGTTGGCCTGTGATGCCATGCCCATCGCCCTACCACGCCTGTCTCTATCTATCTGTGGCATGGAAGCTCTCTCGAGGCTCGTGGGGGATCGGGCAAAGCGGGCGACGTACCCCCAACCGACAACGTCCAGAAGCTACCTAATCACAGGTACCTTACACTACGGGATATCTTAGGGGATTCCAAAGAAATCGCATCTCGATTCTGCAGGATACCTTACTAGTTACTACCCCTCCTCACAGATCCTTGGACACGAGAAAACGGCTCTGCACAACCCACAGTGCTACCACAGTGACCGCTTGTCACGCATTGGCGACTGACTTGTCCGATCTGTCCTTCGCTGCTGGATGACGTCGTTCCGTCCTCCTGCTTCGGCCTCTTGTGCTGCATCTCACTGCATTTCCCAGACTTTGGTGCTTGTTTGTGTGAGTGGACCACCAACAAACACGGCGCGACCGGCTGGAGCATATCGCAGCTTTCCAATCGGCACGCGGGGTATTGGAGAGGCTTGCATTGGATCGCCCCAGATATCCCTGGCTCGCAGAACGGTGAACCCTGAAAACGAGACGACGAGAAAGACGCGAGACATGCGCCGGGCCAGTTGGATGCCTGTGCGGCCCGCCGTCCCAACCAGGCCATTCTCTTACTGGTCGCCGTGATCACCGCCGCCGCGCCGCAAGCCATCGTTCAACTACACTTGGACGCACTGGGGGGTTGATTAGCCAGCCCAGTCCAACATTACACACTGGTGCGATTAAGGGCGGGGACTCAAACGTATATACCTATGCGCTGCGCTCCCACACCGTTAAGTTGTTCTTGACCGAACGAGCAACCATCCCATCTCCGTCACTGAAGTTCGTCGAATCTTTGTCGTGTCGGCTCTTCACTGTGGTTCGGCACCGAGGAAAACGATCGTGGAGGTGGCGCATTCCCCTGTCCCCTTATCCGGGAAGAGATCCGGTTCGACCTATTGACTACGACCGGACCCCCTTTTCCGACCTTCACCATGGGCGGCGACGACAGACGACCGAGTCTCTCCAGCATGGAGCAGACCAGTACCAAGGCCAAGTTGGGTGCCGTTTCGGGGGTCTATATCCCCGTCTGTCTCAATATCTTCAGCATTCTCATGTTTCTCCGTTTTGGCTGGATTCTTGGTCAAGTTGGGCTTTTGGGCATGCTTGGTTCGTCAGCTACTAACACAGACGCGCTCACTCCGTCTAAGCCTACACTAACAAAAAAACCACAGGACTACTCGTTACGGCTTATCTTGTAGACTTCTTGACAACGCTCTCTCTGTCTGCTATAGCTTCAAATGGCGAAGTCAAGGGCGGAGGCGCCTACTACGTAATCTCGCGGTCTCTTGGCCCTGAGTTTGGCGGTTCCATCGGGATGCTCTTCTACCTCGCTCAGGTCCTCAATACCGCTCTCAATGTTGTTGGTCTCATTGATTGCGTAAAGCTGAACGTCGGGGGGTCTTTTCCCCAAGGCTACTGGACTGTCTACATGCTCCAAACCTTGGCTTTGCTGCTCTGTGCTGGATTGTGCTTGGCCGGGAGCGGCATATTTGCCAAGGCTAGCAATGCGCTGCTTGTCATATTGAGTCTCGCCATTATAAGCATTCCGATATCTTCCGCGCTTAAGTCTCCCTTTCGAGATGATGGACTTGGTGTACGATTCACCGGCTTTAGTATCGAGACGTTGGTGGACAACTTTGCTCCCCATACAAAAAGCGAGTCTTTCAAAGGATTTGAAACTTTTCGAGAGGTCTTTGCCATCCTGTTCCCAGCCACGTCAGGAATCTTCGCAGGGGCTTCAATGTCTGGAGATCTGGTAAATCCTAGCAAAGACATCCCGAAGGGAACTCTCTGGGCGATGATGACCACCTTCATTGCGTACCTGGTTGTAGTCTTCTCCATGGCTTCCACCACAACGCATGCTTCATTTCTCAACAACACAAACATTATATCGGTCACGAGCTTGTCCCCACCTTTGATCCTTGCAGGAGAGTGTGCCGTCACCTTCTTCTCCGCCGTGATGGGACTCATTGGTGCTGCCAAGCTCATGCAAGCCCTGGCCAGAGACAAGTTGCTGCCCGGTCTGCTGCCATTTTCGAAAGGAACGAAGAGGGCTGATGAACCAATTCAAGCCATTATCCTCACATATGTGCTTGCCCAGATCGCCATGTTCGCCAATTTGAACCAGATTGCGACTTTAATCTCCATGGGCTATCAGGTGAGCACCCGCTTACTCAGTCTAGACGAAGCTGTTTGGGACTAACAGAGAGCAGATGACCTTCTTCGTCATGAACCTGGCATGTTTCCTACTCAAGATAGGATCAGCTCCCAACTTTCGGCCTGCATTCAAGTTCTTCAGTTGGGAGACAGCTTTTGCTGGCAGCATCATGTCTGCAGCGGCCATGTTCTTCATCGACCAGACTTATGCGGCTACTGCAGTCTGCTTGCTCATCTTTCTCTTTTCCCTGATTCACTATCTCAGCCCACCAAAGCGATGGGGCGACGTCTCGCAAAATCTCATCTACCACCAAGTGAGAAAGTACTTGCTGCGATTGCGGCCGGAGCATATCAAGTTTTGGAGGCCCCAAATCATTCTGCTCATCAACAATCCTAGGAGCCAAACTCGACTGATTCAATTCTGCAACTCCGTAAAGAAAGGCGGTCTCTATATTCTCGGCCACGTCATTGTGACGGACGATTTCAACAGCGGCGTTCACGAAGCCAGACTTCAACAGGCAGCATGGACAAAGTACATCTCGGAGTTCTCCCGTATCAAGGCCTTCGTGCAGCTTACAATGTCCCCAACCATCACCTGGGGTATCCGAAACTTGATTCTATCGGCTGGGCTAGGGGGCATGCGGCCAAATATTGCTGTCATGGGATTCTACAACATGGACGAGCTGCGAGATTCTCGACCTTCTTTCCAGGTTCCGAAAGCACCGAGCTCGTCGAACATGAACGCCCGCCCTCAGGCCAAAGCCAAAGAGAGGCCTTCACGCAGGAGACGAGGCGACACATCAGCGCGTCTCATGGAAGGCATGCTGCCTACGGATGTGATGAAGACAGAGGGCATGATGAGTGTGACCAATTACATGACTATGTTGGAAGATCTCGCTCTGAGGTACAAACTGAATGTCGCAATTGGCAAAGGCTTTGAAAATCTGGAAACGCCGCGCAAGGACAAAGCCAACGTCAAGAAACATCTCGATCTCTGGCCGATACAAATGTCGGCAGAAGTTCTGTCAGATGGGAAAAGTGTCTTGACAACCAACTTCGACACATGTGAGCAGGATTGTTGTTTCAATACGAATTTCGCTGATACATTTGCAGATACCTTGATTCTCCAACTAGGCTATATCCTCTACAGCGTTCCGACATGGCACAAAGTATACAATATTCGCGTCATGGTGTTTGTGGAGTACGAAAGTGAAGTGGAAGAAGAAAGGGCGCGAGTCAAGGCCTTGCTAGATAAGCTGAGGATCGAGGCCGAGGTCATCGTGTTTTGGCTGGCTTCCGGACACCTCAATACGTATGAGCTGATCATCAACGGCCAAAGTAACGACCTCGAGTCTCAGATTATGGTCCACGATATACTAAAGGATGAAGAGTGGTGGGACGACCTGCAGAGGTTCCGAGGCCGTGAGCCAAATCTGAACTCAACCGAAGAGCTTACGTCTTTCGCGAATATCATCGAGTCAACCGCAGGGCGGCCTGGCGTGTTCAACCCGCATGTATCACTGGACGATATTGAAAGTGGACGGCGACCAAGTCTGGTGCACTTTGGGGAACTGCCCAGGAAGCCGACGGTTTCGAGGTTGTCCCGCCTTGGCGTCAGTGTTGGAATTCATACGTCTCACTTGGGAGATGAGGTTTTTGAAGACGCCTCTGGCTCCGACGGTGAGATGAGTGATCAAGAACAACAACCATCTTGCCTTGATTCCGATTCTGAATTTGAACCTGGCAGCAGTGACTACAGCGAGGACGAGATGCCAGAGGTCGACGCTCCCAGGCGGCCGTTGTTACTTGGGCGAGGACGAGGGCGAAGCCAGAGCGACGACCTACTCACGAGTCCATCGAAACAAAAAAGGAGCAAATCGAATAAGAGCGCTGCACCGGCAGCATCATACGGCACGATGGTGTCACAAGCTCGTTCTGAAGGTCAGGCGGGCCCAAGCCACGTGGGAAGGGTCGAAAACGTGTCAGCGCCTCCAACTCCGCTGGAACGACCTGTGCTTGATCGAAACATATCTGCTCGTTCCATGGGCGGGTTTCGGTCGGCGGGTATCAACACTTACGATGCGACCTCGGGAAGTGTATCAGGGAAAGCAACCCCAGCAACGAGACCAACGCTCTCTCGACAATCATCAGCAGTGAGGTTCTCAAGTCGTCCAATGCCGGAGACCAGAACCGATGTGGAGGGTGCGTCTGGTCCGACAATCATGTTTGCAGACACCACCGAGGAAGAGACGCCGCGGGCGGAACAACCCGCATTCTCAAGACAGTCCTCTGCAGGACGGTTCTCCAGTCGGCCTGTGCCCGAGATGACGGTGACGGCGGCTGAAGAGTTCGAGCCGAATAGTACGTTTGCGGAACTCTCGTGCAGATCACGCAAAGCTTCGGTCGCGTCTACTGCAGATCTAGGCGACGTCCACATGAACATGGCGGAACTTGTGGGACGCTACAGATTAGACTCGAGACCCGACGCAGACGGGCCCGGCTCGCCCTACTCGACGCAAGGCATCTCGCTCTCGTTCAACGATTTGCCATCGCGAGCGCAGCATGTCATCCTCAATGAGCTGATGCGGCAAAACAGCAAAGATACAGCCGTCATGTTCACCACGTTGCCCGTGCCCACGGAGGGGACTTGCCAGGATGAGCTGGCGAGCGTGCAGTATCTATCGGACGTTGAAGTCCTCTGCCACGAGCTCCCTCCCGTCATGTTGGTCCTGAGTAATAACATGACTGTCACGGTTGGGCTATAGTCTGAACTCGTGGTGGGGCAATGTCTCAAATCCTGCGAGGGAGAACATCCATGATAAGGTCAAACCACGCGGGGGTTAATTCATACTTTGGCATTTATTTTTTTTCCAGCGTGTCGGCGGCTTATGTCGGGGATCATCACCCGGAACAAAGGAATGTGGTGGTAAACTCTTTTGGGGCCGGCCACATTCCTCAGTGTCTTTGGCCGAAATGAGAAGCTATTCAACTAAGCATTCTTTGTCTGCCAGCGACCGGACCACCATGATGGGCTTTCGCCTGCAGCCTTTACAAAGAGTTTCCCTCGACGGTGCATAAGCAGCTTGAACTCTCGCCATCCAGGTTTTTCTTCCCCTACCTCGGATGTCTGTCAAGAGGAGTGGTTTTCATGGAAGCCTCTTTTGAAGCCATGGACATTAAACACCCAACCCCGCCGGCATTGCCTTCCTCATGGACAATCCCTCAAACAGTCAACATGAATGATCATGGAAGGAAATCGACTTGGACCACGCAATTGTCGCCGTACCTGAAAGGCCTCAAGATAAAGAACCTCATGACGTCTCCTAAATCACCAAAGTCACCCAAATCCCCAAAGTCGCCAAGGTTTCCACTTTCACCCAAATCGCCGAGATTCCCTCTATCACCCAAATCACCCAGAACGCTACCGCCAAAGCTTCTCGACGAGGACTCGTCATTTCGAATTATACATACGCCTGACAGGCCGGAACGACCGATATCAAAACGGGCCATCCCGAATGACGAACAGTGCATGGCATTCCTTATGTCTTTGCAGAGACAAGAAGAACACAAGAGGGGAGGCGTCAAGACGGGCCTCAAGATGTGGCCGTACCCGGACGAGCAGGAGGCCGAGGACCGTAGGTATCTGCGGAGTGTGAGGGTCGAAAGTGTGCACTTGGAGGAAGCTCGTCTCGCGAGAACAAATTCCTCCGGCCCGGCCAAGGTTGTGGAAGTGGGCAGAAGCTCGACCAAGTCGACGATGGCATCACGGCGATCATACCACACCAGCACACCCAGTGTTAGTGACGCAGGGGACGTCGAAGAAAAGCCCCGATGCGGTCTTACAGTGGCCGTCGGTGTTGCCCCCCTCTCTCCACCGCCGACTGTGCCCCGCAGTCAATCAAGGCTAAGCTTTCACACGCCAAAAGCCAATACATCTCGCTGGTCCGATGACAGCATCGAGTCCCTCTTCTCGTCGAGAGACATGGACTCGCCATGCCCTCAGCGAGTTACTGTCCGCTCATCCTCCGAGGCGCTGTCACCCACTGTCGTCGGGGACGAGTCTGTTGGCTCATACTCGCCTCCCCTTCTGACGCCAGTGAAAGATCGGCCTGCTACACCGTTCACGGACCCTCGTCTACGGGCGACATCCGAACCGATGACGCCTCCGCCTTCAGATCACATTGTTCACCAGATGAACATAAGCCCTGAGCCGGTGCCGCGGAAGTACTCATGGCGCTCTTCCAAAGATACGATCCTCAATACAGGGGCCCCGATATCAAGATTCCAGTCGTGGCTACCAGAAGCGCGGCCGGAAGAGGATTCCGAGGGGGGACAGCAGCAACAACAGCAAACTGAGCCGGAGGTCTACGGCGAGTGGGCGGATTACTACTTTGAGGATGGGAATTTCTGGGATGACTATTCGGACGGCGATGAGGAAGGAGATGAGACTAAGGTAGAGGAAGAGGAGGATATCGACGCCATCGAGAAGGAGGAGCAAGAAGTCGGCGACGAAGAAGAAGAAAAGGAGGAAGGGAACGAGGGTCAAAAAGACCGGCTTCGGGTCGACGATGAGGAGGTTTATCCGCGCTACGAGAGTTTTATCAAGGATTACAAGAACAACGTCATGAATATCACGGTTACGGAGGTGTGAAGGTTCTTCTTCGACGTTACTTATTTCGCCCATTCGGATTTGGGGAGTTTTACGGATGGGATGATATCTCAATCACCTTTCAGGGGTTTGAGACATTGTAACAGTATTGTACGAATTTGAGATTTAGTCGCGATTACCCACTCGTTATTTCGGAACAAAAAGAAAGCCTTTATGATTTATTACCTTTTGGGTCGCCCTGATGCTTCAATATTATCGATGTCTCTGTAATGTTCGTGTCACATGACATCACTCAACTCCCTTGGGCTAACAACTTAGATGAAAACTGACCGAACCGCGCTAATAGGCTAAGTACAGGAGCTCCATACATCGCGACGGAGACTGAGAGTCGAAATACCGCACCTAACAAGAGCACCTTGGGATGCCTCCATCCCTTGACTTTGGGTACTACGAGGCGATGTCTCTAGCCCCTAAGCGATACCAACATCCTTCCAACTCGCTCGGTCGAGGAAACCCCCCATTTTCGAATCCCCATTATGACGGAACCGAATAGAGTGACACGATTGATTCCATCGTCGTATTCTTGGACATTCCCCTCCCCCCCCCCCCTAAAACAAGAAAAGATCGATGTTTTCACTTCTAATATTCGACCTGGGGGAGAACAGGCTTATCGGGATCAACCCAGTCCGTAGGGCCCTCGATACCGGGCCTGCAGGCATGGTGAGCCCTTTCCCACCACTGCTGGGTCCAGATGCACGGGCCCGGCGGAAGGCCGCCCCTGCGGGCAGCGTCGTTGCAATACCTCCAGCGGACGAGGGCCTCTCTGCACAGTTTCCGCTCCGGTTGGTTGCAGCACCTTCTGCGGTACCAGGTGTAGTAGGAGCGGTTTGCGTCGGCGTGGTCGACGAGGCAGAGAAGGGCTGCGAGGAGGAGGACGAAGTGGTGGAGTCTTAAGTGCATTTTGTCGGAGGGGTTTGGTTGTGAGTTGGGTTTTTGCTTATTTCGTTTTTTCTGAGAGTTGAGTGATTGTTTGTTTGGAGCTGAGGTATGGTGTGATTTGATCCGGCGATGTGTGGTTTGGTGACTTGATAGCAAGAGTTTGATGGAGAAGTTATTGGATTGAAGGAGGAAAATAGGATGGATTGTAGAAAACTAGGTGCTTTCCTGAAGTATGCCGACAGGAAGAGTCTTCAGAGGAAGTGGAAGCTGTGTCTAGTTTGGAGACCAAGATAGCCATTAGTGAACCCTGAGGATATGATTCTACAACCTTGACGGAACCGATGGGGAGTGTGAGGCAATCTAGTAACCCCGTGCGGCTGCAGAATCTAGAACCATCATGGTTGAGAGTCGTGTTAATTCAAGTCAGGCACGGGAGACAGTCGGGTTCTGTTCATTCCGCCCGCCGACAAGAGTGAAATAAGACACTGGTTACCCGTACATACTAAATACACCTGGAAGCTTGGAACTCTTAACATATTTCATCAGAAAGACCATTGCTTCTTCCACTATCCAGGCCTCCAATGCACCGACGATGGCTTCAATAAGCTCGATCTCCCGCGGTGTATGCGGCTCGGTGTGGCCCAAGCTCCAAGCTCCCAAGCTCCCCCAAAACTTTCACCTCATACCTGGTTTACCCTTTCGTCTTCCTCACACAAACTTCATCTCATCCACGAATTTCCTCACGCCATCTAGTCATCCTTTCCCCTCATGACGCGCAATGCAGTGAGTCAGCGGCCGGAGAGAAGAAACACACAGAAAGTAAGCGTGCGCGCACCGCGGTAGATGCCTCGCCTACCGCCCTGCCTCTTCCGCCGCGCCCACGCCATCTCACCCCATGCCGCCGTCCTCCTGCCGGCGTGCCGCGATGTACCCTCCGCGGTGGCCGAGCTTCGCTGGATCAGGTCGCACGTCGCAAGCAGCGGTAGGCAGCCGTCATCAAGAGCGCTTCTGCCCAGCCAAGATGAGCAAGAAGCCCGCGTCGCACGCCTCTGCGCAAAACGCGGCCGCGGCGTGCCCCTGCAGTACGTCCTCGGCTCCCAGCCCTTCGGAGCACTCGACATCAAGTGCCGGCCCGGCGTGCTCGCTCCGCGCGCCGAGACGGAGGCGTACGCGATCCATCTGGCCGACATGATCACGCTTGGCCAGCTGCCTGGTTTCGAGAACAGAGAGCTGCGGGTCGTGGACTTTTGTACGGGCACTGGGTGTATCGCGCTCGCGCTGTACGAGCGTCTTACACGATGGGCCAAGAAGCTTAGCGTCGCGGGCGTTGATGTCTCGCCCATCGCTGTCAATCTCTCGCGAGAAAATTTGCGGCGCAACATGGCTACAAATTCACTAATACCGCCGTCTCCCGACAAGGAGGTGACTTTCCGAAAAGCAGACGTCTTCCAGGAGGCTGATATGCAGTCGCTTCAACGATGCGATGTACTGATATCAAACCCGCCGTACATATCACGCAAGATTTGGACCTATGGTCAGGGCCAGATGAGCTACTCTGTGCGAAAGTACGAGCCGAAGCTCGCGCTCGTGCCGGGGGAGATGGTGCCTACGTATGAGGGGTGTGATCATGCCGACGTCTTTTACGCCAGATTGCTCGACATTGGAAGTCGGCTACGGACGCGAGTCTTACTATTCGAGGTGGGAGATGAGGAACAGGCTCTTAGGGTTGTCAAGCTCGTCAGACGCAATGACTTTACGAGGCATGCTTTGTGCGAGCTCTGGAGGGACTGGCCAGACTTATCGCCCGAAGAAGATGAAGTGAGTTCATTCCATGTCGATAGGGAGATGATTACTGTCAAGGGCAGCGGGAATGTTCGATCAGTCCTGATTCGTCTATGAGACTGAGTTTCAAAAAGCTTGGATATATACGCATTTAAAATACCATCCCACATCAGAATATGTAAGGCGCTTCCCATATTGCAAGAGAACAAATAATACGGCACAGAGTAGTCAAAATCACCATTTTCGACTTCATAAGGATGATATGTGGCAAAAGCAAAAGGTTACTGCCCAGAGGCGGATTCGAACCGCCGTCAACACGGATCGCTGTATAGAAGAACCACAACGTATCATCCTAACCAACTAGACGATCTGGGCCAGTGGTTATTGATAGAAGCTTAGGTCTGGTGACAATCTAAGGATCGTTTCGCGATTGAGGGTGGGGTTTCTGCCGGTTTAGCGCCTGAGACCCCCTAATCTTCAGCAGTCGCTCAGCGGGCCCAACGTCTGTAACCGCTGGACCTCTCCTCAGGGCGCTCCTACATGCGTGCCTCAGCTGGCTCACTCCCGTCTTTGCGGTTCACAACTGACAGCTTTATTGAAGGAGACGAGGCACCTGAACCTGTGTCATGAAACAAGGGAAGCAACGGCGATGAAGTTATTTCCCGCGAGGAATCAGTGGTGTTTCCAGTCTGATTACACAGAGACATCGTGTCTCTGCTGCCCACGGTTCAGCTGGACCCTGTGCGCCTCAAGTGATTGGGATCAGACAAGCGGGGTCCAGATGGCGTAAAGAAACGTTCCAGCCATGAGCTTGATCATCAACGGTCGGTTGCGCGTGTGCAGCCGTCGGCGCCCTTCGGACCCAACGATCCGGATTGTTCCTGAGATTTCGAATTGCGCGTGAAAGCTAGAGAATCAAATGAAAGGGGTCTTCCCTTGCAAGCCACACCAAGAGACTGCGCCATGCCGTGGTTCTTTGGAATGAGGCCGGAACGGCAGCGGGAAAGGGTCCAGATGTGATGAGTGGAATGCTAGAAACTAGATCAGCTCCTGTCATGATTGACGGCGTCTGAGGTTCCTTGCGACTTGGATTGATAGTAAAAAGTGAAGGCGTGGGAGAACTGCAGCCTGGAAAATGAACCTCTTCCAGGATGATCGGATTGATCTCGATATTCAGCTTCACATAATTGCTGTATCAACGTGAGTTTCTCGTGACAATCTGAAACATGGGCACACCATTTCACGGGCGAGGAGACTCTTCGACTATGGAGACGAATCAAGGTAGAGTGCCAGGATCAAGATTTCGGCTATCTCATCACGCCGAATCAGATCGGAGGCACCGTATCTTATCCGACATCAGCTTCGGGCGGGGTATAGGCTTCGACTCCGGATCGCACTCACATCAATGATTGAGTGTTTCCCAAAACATGGCATCCGGAAAGCACGTTGTCAAGCCATCCTCGCGAGCCTTGGCAAATTTGGAGTCCGGAGGCTTCATCGACTTGGAAAATGAAGCCAGTAAACTCCCGCAGTACGACCCAGCTACGTGCCCTGATGGAGTCATTGACCTCTCCGGTGCCATCAATGGTTTGATGGGCGATGTTCTGGCAGAAGAGATGGACCGATTTTCCAAGGCTTACGATTTTGTGAAAGGCATGAGTAGCTTGTAGTCTGGTCGAGAGTTTGAACTGACATGATCTTACAGCAACTCGATACGGTGATGTTATGGGACCGAAAGGTGAGTATTAAGTATATTCCAAGGCCTTTATACTATTTGCTAATAATAGGTCGATAGAGCTAGCCGATGCAATGAGTAGCTTTGTGAATCGCCATTTCGGTCCTGCGCGGTCAGTCACATCCGTTGACATACTGGTGACCAACGGCGTGACCTCACTCATAGACATGATGGCATTCGGAATGTGCGATCCAGGCGAGGGCATCATGGTCATCACTCCAACTTACATGATGTTTCCCCACGATCTGTGCGCCAGAGCAGGCGTCAGCCTAATCAAGGTCAACCCCGAGCCCATTGAGAGCCAGTTCGACGAGAAGTCTGCCCCTTTGCTCATTGAAGCAATGTCCAGAGCCTACGTCGCAGCTCTGGCAGACGGTATTGTCCCCAAGGCCCTCCTCCTCTGTAACCCGAGCAACCCCTGCGGCCGGACCTACCCAAGCACTTCCCTTGTCGAGATTGCGAGATTCTGCGGACAAAAGAACATGCACCTTCTATCCGACGAGATCTACGCCATGTCGACCTTTGCCGGCACAACGGACGCAGATGGACAGACGCTTCCCCCATTCACCTCCGTGCTAAGCATACAGGATGATCCACCTCGCGGTGTGCTCGCTGAGAACATCCACTGCATGTACGGCGCAAGCAAAGACTTTGGCTGCGGCGGTCTGCGGCTCGGATTCCTCGTGACGCGGAACGAGCTCCTCTGGCGTTCTCTGAGGAGGTTAGTGCTGTTTACATGGGTCTCGACTTTCTCGACTGCATTCTTCACGCACTTCTTGCTTGACGAGGAAGCTGTCGGTAGATATCTTAAGATCTACCGTGAACGACTCGAGGCGCAGTATAGGTTGACCACGCAGCTCTTGAAGGAGAGCGGAATTCCATTCGTGCCGGCCAACAGTGGGGTGTTCATCTTCATCAAGCTGACGGCTTGGTTGGATCACGGTGAGCATTCGGCTGAACGCGACGGAAGCCACGAGATGAGACTCTGTCGATATCTTTTGCATGAAGCAGGTGTCTTTCTCAGTCCTGGAGAAGTAGGTCTTTCATGTCGACTAAACTGTAATGAGATGATTGACATTCACATAGCTCTCCCTATCGACGGTTCCGGGCTGCTTCAGATTGGTCTACACCGACAAAAGGGAATATATGCCCATAGCTATCCAACGGCTAGCAGAGGCACTGGAAGAGCTCAAGCTGCGTCCTGCATCACAGTCTTCTTCGTCCTCAATGAGTGGCCAAAACACCAAGGGCACCATGAATGTGGCAGAGGATTTGACGAGGGTATCACGGCGGACGTCGATTGCGCGCTTCTTGCTTTGTCAAAGAGCATGACAGTGCAAAAAGCATCTTGCCCAGGATGAAGATGAGCCAACGATGATGATAAGAAGACAAAAAAATAAGATGTAGCTGCTTCATGGCGCCGAAACGCAAAAGAAATTGACCAGCCTGGGGGTCGAACCCAGAATCTCCTGATAACACATTTAGTCGTAGTCAGACG